ACAGTTTGCGGAGTTGATTCTTAATACGTGCTCTTAACTTAACCACATAATTGTGTCGGTAGGCACTTGATGCAAACTTTGCCCAACACCATTTCCGCGAAAAAATAGACTACATGAGCACAACAGGGCTGAGTCTAACTTTAACAGCAGTAATGGCGCTGGCATGTCGATGTTCCGTTCAAAACAGTGAATACAAGAAAAGTAAATAACACTTGCTAGTTAAAAAGCAGTAATTAATAACTCAGGTGGTATGCTTACTTGTTTTAGATGATTTGAAGAGAATCCAACGCAAACACGTGTGTCCAACTGCCGAAGAATCGCTGTAAAGAGGAACAGGAAGTCTCACACCGCGGTATTCTCGTTTGAGGGCGTGGCATGACCGTGGCGTTGACAAAAGCATTTTCATGAAGTTTTCCAAAACTTATTTATAAGAAAGTTCAGGAAAATGTGATATTAATTTACAAATTAATGAGTTCTTAAAACATGTTCTCATTGTTACTTAAGTGTTACTTATTTAAATGCACATTGAAAAAAAAGTAATTTAGGGCAAGTCAATTACATAAATAATGTTTTTCTTAATTAACAAGATTATTATCTCAGAATTCCAGGAAAAGTTCTTTGAAAAACCTTTTTTCCTCAAGTGAATGCATTAGGCTTCTGTATTTATCTTATATATTAGTCAAATAAAACAGGAACAGGTGTTCCTAACTCAAAAATTACATACATTATGAATAAATAACTAAATATTCACACAAAGCCAGAGTCAAGACTAAATTGAATTGCATTGCAGTGTCACAAGATTTGTTTTCAATCAATTTCAGTCAAGATTTTGTGGTTCCTAATGTGGTCATAGTGACAAAAATAAAAGCACAAATTCATGAACTGTCGAGGAGAAAAAAGATAACCTTCGGGTTAGACCTTGAGAAGATTATCCATTTCCAGCAAATCATTTTGTAAGCATGTTTACTGTGTTAAAAGGAATTTAAAACAGATTTCAATGAAAAGGTAATTACACCTGACTAACAATAGATTGATTAAACATAAAGTCAAGAGATTATTTTGTAATAATGTTCACACTGTTTTTTGGTAGTATGGAAGAGGACGCTTTGGTAACACCTGGAAAAGAAAGAGATCTTGGGTGTTTGGTATACTCGAGATCAAAGCTGCAAGCAGACGTCCCATTCTTCGCCTAGTAAAGAGAAGAAACAAGGAGACCCTTGTTCCCATCATCAAGAAGCATATCAAGCCTCAAAGTCTTGTTGTGAGTGATGAGTGGAGAGCATATGCCAGTCTTTCCCAAGAGGGCTACAGGCATGTCAGGGTCAACCACAGCCAGAATTATGTTGATCCACAAACAGGACTACATACTCAAAATATTGAGAGAGCATGGCAGACATACAATAGGGAAGTTTGGCGTATGAGGAGGAATCGTTCTGAGAAAACCTTAAAAAAACAGCTCTCCTTATGAGTGGACCTACTGGTTAGCAAGAACATATACACATGGTGTACTTGTAAGACTTATCAAGGACATACAGGATGGTAACCACAGATCAGTTTAGGACCTTTCTGTAGCCTAATTGCTGTTGTTTACTGATGGAGCTGCACACCCTGGTAATTGGCTGGGGGTTAGACACACACATTGGAGCCAAAGGCTCTTTGCTGACGCCCATAAACGTCCTGAACACAGCAAAATAAAAGGAGAAGAGAAAATACAGGCAGAGGGCAGGGTCTCTGTAGATACAGACACCATCACACACTTCTATCTATACATTGTTTTTTTAGGAAATTCCTACATATTATACCTTTAACGGTTGACCTTGGCCTCAGGGTAGATCAATAATTGAATGTTCTTCTGTTGGTCAGGTGTCGTTGTTTATTTTATTTATAGTTATTAAACTGTTCAAATCTGCAGTGCAGTGATTTATTTCCGTTTGCCTGGTATTGACTACCAGCTGGTAGATAATGTGTTTCAAACTTTATTTTTGACCATTTCACAACTGTTCAGTGTTTTTACTATATTTGTAGTATATTCTTAAAATAAAAAAGCTTTCTTTCTCTGATATGCTGCATATAGTGTTTGTTCTACTGTGCTTTATAGCCTGGTATTGACTTCAGTTATCCAGTGTTCGTGATCAGTTGTGCAAAACATTTCGCTTTATTCCCATGTCTGTTGCATATAATTAATAATAATAATAAATTGAATTTATATAGCGCTTCTCATCTGCCAAGACAAATCTTGAAGCGCTTCACAGCAAAGGACACTGATACAATTTGAGAGATTAAACAAATAATAATACAAATTATTGAAACAAAATTAAATAAAAATTAAATATAAAATAAATTAAAAATAAATAAATTAAATAAAAGTCGGAGATAGATAAAAATGGCAATACTCCTGGTGTACCATGCTCAAAGTTTATTGGAAGGCCTGCCGAAAGAAGAGGGTCTTAAGGCCGGTTTTTAAGACCTCGGTGGAAGGGGCAGATCTCAGCTGATCTGGGAGGGAGTTCCAGAGGCGCGGGGCGAATGAGCAGAAGGCTCGGTCTCCCATTGTTCGGAGACGTGTGCGGGGGATGTAAAGAAGAGGAGCGTGGCTGGAGCGGAGAGAGCGGCTAGATGTCTGGGTACGGATGAGGTCACAGAGGTATTTTGGGCTTTGTCCATTCAGGGCTTTGTAAGTGAGGAGCAGAACCTTAAACTGGATCCTGTAGTGGACTGGGAGCCAGTGTAGTTGTGCAAGTATGGGGGTTATGTGTGCGGACCTTTTTGTACCGGTGAGAACTCTGGCTGTACTGTTCTGGACAAGTTGCAGGCGGTTTGGCTGGGAGACCGGAGAGCAGTGCATTGCAATAATCTAGTCTTGAGAAGACGAATGCATGAACCAGTTTTTTGGTGTCATCAGTTGAGAGTGAGGGCTTCAGTCAGGAAATGTTTTTCAGGTGAAAGAAGGAGGTCTTGGTGATATGTTTGATGTGGGCTTGGAAAGACAGAGTGGGGTCAAACCTTAGACCGAGGTTGGTGACAACGGAGGAGAGAGAAATGAGCTGACCATCAAGGGAGGGGCTGATGTTGGCGGCCTTGGCAAGCTGGTCGGTGGTGCCTATTAGGATTGAATCAGTCTTGCTGCTGTTGAGCTGGAGGTAGTTGGTGGTCATCCAGGAGCGGATGTCTTCCAGGCAGGTGTTTAGTGTTTGGATAGTATTGGTGGTATTGGGTTGTGTTTTGATATAGACCTGGGTCTCGTCAGCATAGCAGTGGAAGTTGATGTTATGTTGTCTGATGATATGACCCAGAGGTAATAGATAGATTAAAAACAGGATCGGCCCCAGCACTGAGCCCTGTGGGACCCCGCATGTCACTGCGGTGTCATCAGACCTGGAACCCCCCAGAGCCACGTGGTACTTCCGGTTGGTGAGGTAGCAGGAGAACCACTTCAGAGCCGTGTCCGTCACCCTGGTGTAGGTCTCGAGGCGGTGGAGGAGGATGGTATGGTCCACTGTGTCGAAAGCTGCACTCAGGTCAAGTAGGACCAGGATGCTGGGTGACCCAGAGTCGGCTGCCATCAGCAGGTCGTTGGCTACTTTTATTAGGGCTGTTTCTGTGCTGTGTGCAGGGCGGAAACCTGATTGGAAGGTCTCATACATTTTATTGTCAGACAGATGAGACTGGAGCTGTGCGGCCATGACCTTCTCAAGTACTTTGGCAAGGAACGGGAGGTTGGAGATAGGTCTGTAGTTGGAGAGGAGTTCTCGGTTGATATTTGTTTTTTTCAAAAGTGGGGTGACAACTGCTGTTTTGAAATGGACAGGCACCTCACCAGTCTGTAGTGACTTTTTGATGAGTGTTGTCAGGAAATTAACCAAGGTTGGCGAACAGGTTTTTAGCAGCGGGGTGGGTATGGGGTCGAGGGAGCAGCTGGTAGGCTTCGATTTGCCTATGATGGCTAGCAGTGCAGATGACGTCACCTCGTTGAAGCTGCAGAGGGTGATGCCGTTGATGAAGGGAGAGCAGGTGAGTGGGGTCCGAGCTACTGTTGAGGCTGTAATGGTTGCTCTGATATCTGCGATCTTGGTCTTAAAGAAAGCAGAGAAGTTATTACAGAGTTCTGGAGAGGCAGCTGGGGGGCTTGTGTTGGAGGAGTTGAGAAGGCGGTTGATAGTGGAGAATAAGGTTCTAGGATTGCTTTTGCCGTTGTCTATTATTGACGAGTAGTATGAAGAGCGGGCGTTTTTTAGAGCAGTAGCATAGGCACTTTGGTGTTCTCTGAAGGCCAGTAGGTGGACGGCGAGAGCCTGCTTCCTCCATAGTCTCTCCAGCTGTCGACCGCAGGTTTTCATGCGGCGGAGGTCGTCCGTGAACCAGGGGGAGGACCCTTGGAATTAGTGGATGAATGTATGTGTTCTGTTGATAGGTTATAGACTTTCTACTGTTCTCAACTGTTTTTCACTTTAATTGGATAGTCTTAACACATGCCTACAAACGCTTAGTGGAGAATGCCTACTAAAAGTATACTGATAGTCAACTCTAGATTAGTTGACGATCAACAGATAGTCAACTAAACTCTAAAGTTGCTTATCTGTTGATCATCAACTAATGCGTAATGTAATAGTCAACTAAACTCTAAAGTTGCTTATCTGTTGATCATCAACTAATGCTTAATGTAATAGTCAACTAAACTTTAGTTGCTTATTTGTTGATCGTCAACTAATGCTTAGTTACTTGTCGGTTTGAACGGTGCTGTTGAATGTCAACTGATACATGTCAACTGATGCACTGTTGACATGCTACTAAATGTCAACTGATGACTTATAGTGTTAACTATGGACTATCAAAATAAAGTGTTACCAAGAATTCTAACCTTTGTACTTTAGTAACATTTCTGTGAATATGCTGTTTATTGTGATATATTACACAACATATATTGACGTCATTTAAAAAGAACAACCAATGCTTCCTAAAGTATTCATGAAATATATTGTGAATGTTCGGATTTCTTTTAGTGTCAGAAGATTTGCAACCTGTGAAGCGGAGCAGCAGCTATGGACTACTGCCACCTGCCTGTGAGTTTAACAGAACTGAGTCAAAATGTTTAATTATTTAACATGCAGCTGTCACGGGTTGAGCTGCAGACTGAGACAGAGACATCAACAGCTATTACTTTCGAGGGGTGGAGGTATGCCCATTATTTTAAATCTGTCAGAAGAAAGGACAAGAATGTGACGGTAAGGTGGACTGCTGCAAACACAACAACATCAAACCTCTCCAAGCACCTGCAGAGGCAACATGCTAACAGAGCGTCCACACAGCAGCGTTAAAAAAATCTTGGAGGTGGGCGTATCTGAAGCTTGGGGATTTTTTGCGAGCAACGCGACCAACAACCAATCACATGAATCTCCCACCCCCGACATACGAAGCAAAAAAGCCCGAAGTAAACTGGATATAAACTCCCCAAACAGGCGAAAACCTACCACTGTCTCTGCCACCTCCCTCCATGCCTGGCTCCTCCGGTTTGTATCCCGGTAGGTAAATAGGGACTGGTCATAAAGCACCGGGTGATTCCCTACCGCTAATTTCTCCTCCATTTTTTGGAATATGAGGAAATGACCTGCGGTATGTCTCTCCCAGCATACACGCGGTTTGATTGGCTAGCGCTTGTACTGTCAGATTTGCATACACAGGATTTGATTGGCTGACGCTTCCACCTCAGCTTCAAAAGTTGAACATTGCTCAACTTTTGCAGTTCGGCGAAAAGTGAGGCAAAGTGACGTCACCCCATTCAAAGTGAATGGGCAGAAGCATTGGAAGATTTTTTTAACGCTGCTGTGTGGACGGGCCGTAACACGAAGCTAGTAGCTAAAGACCCCCGAACCCAGAGTGATGATGTTGAGTGAGTGCCGACTCCGAACAAGCAGCAAAAACTAGAATTTTCACCGTTATTAACTTGTGTTATTTCTTCCTTATTGCAATAGTAATTGTTATGTGTGCACATGTAGGCCTACGTTTTAAGTTTTGGCTATAGGCTGTTGCTGAGTAACGCAAAAGTAATGTAAAGAAACTAGTAAAGTAACGAGTTACTTTATGTAGAGAGTAACGAAGTAAAGTAATATATTACTTTTTTTAAAAGTAATAAGTCATATGTAATATATTACTTTATTTGAGTAACGACCCCATCTCTGATTGTCGATAATTAATATAAAGAATTCTAACCTCTGTACTTTAGTAACATTTCTGTGAATATGCTGTTTATTGTGATATATTACACAACATATATTGACGTCATTTAAAAAGAACAACCAATAGGCACATTCACACCGCAGTACTTTTCCCACAATAGTTCATGAGAACTCTTTAGTTCTCATGAACTAAGTACAGATCGCGTTCACACCGGAATAAGTTCCTGGGGGAAGGATTAGGCAAATGAAGCCGCTGACGTCACTTCTTCTTCTTCTGCTTTGGGTTTACTGGCAGGCCGCAAACAACTTCACGGCGTATACTGCCACCCGAAGTCCCCGGTCGGAAGTCCCCGGAGTTGGCTTGGGACTCCCAGCAGCTTCTACTGAAGCCTTCCGAGTAAATCGCCAGAATGCCGACACCTCCTCATCTCCACCGCTCCCATGTTTTCTTTTGTGTTGCCATAAGTTAGTCTCTCTGCGTTTGTGCGCTGGGCTAATGCTAATGCGAGGATAATAAAATGGCGGCTTCACAAAACCTTTTGGGAGTTTTATGGGGCGTGGTTTGCAATCCGCCCAGCCAATCAGAAGTAGGAACCTTTTTCTCCCACGAAAGTACCTGCTCTCTAGCAGGGATGGAAAAGGGGGTAAAAAAGGTTCTCATGAACTAATTTTAGTTCCGGCTCTTTTTGGTGTGAACGCGACATTTCGGAACTAAAGTGGGAAAAGTACTGCGGTGTGAACGCGCCTATTGGTTCCTCAAGTATTCATGAAATATGTTGTGAATGTTCGGATTTCTTTTAGTGTCAGATGATTTTCAACCTTTGAAGAGGAGAAACAGCTATGGATTACTGCCACCTTCCTGTGAGTTTAACAGAACTGAGTCAAAAAATATTTAATGTAAATTAACATCTAAAATCACAGTTTTTTAGATTATGGGTACACATCCTTTTTTTCTCCATTGAGGCCCCGGCTCCACGGGAACGCATACGGCAAAACACATAGGAGTAACGCAAACGCAAACGCCAAAAAGCTTCCGCCCACACGCAATATACACCGGATTGTGTCAAGCTACACGAGACGGCTCCGTTTAGATCCAACCGCTGGAAAAGCTGCAGTACATATGCCGAGCCTGTACGTGGAGCTGTAACTTCCTCCACAAAAGCAGCAACTTCCTCCACAAAAGCAGCGAAGAAGAATGGTTGTCATGGCTGCACTTCTGTTTATTCTCCGCGGTGGTGGCCGAGGGATCCGGGCAGAGTTTTTCGCCGGTCAACGTGTGTTAAAGTTTAAATCTTCCGGACAAAATTATAAAAGTGCCGGTCAAAGGTCTTCTTTGTTATTTATTGAGCTTTAAAACAAATGAATAACGACGATATAATGATATATAATAATAAAATACACGGAGCCTGTCTCTTTTTCCTCTCTTCTGACAGCGTCAGTGTCTGTCTCATGCAGCAGCTGATCCAGTAATGATGACTCGACAGTAAAAATAAACATATTTATAACTAGTTTAGGTAGTTTGAGAGGTAATTAAAATAGCTAAGGGTGATGATCTGACTTGAAGTGTGTGTTTTGCATCACAGCGGGAGGAGCTGCGTGTCTCCGTCCTGTTAGATTAGACTTCACTCGCGTTTATGTCCATATCGAGATAAAGATAAATAATCTGAATTCAGTGTGCAGTGTACTTTTGCGGGGGTGAGCAGCAGAGGTGGGGAGAGGCGGGGCTATTGCGTCGTCATTATCAGAAACGGATGACCGTATAGGCTACCACACGGCCCCGTTGGACCCCCCAGAGCGATCCGTTCCCAGATCTATCCACCTTTGGACCCGTTGTCGTTTGCAGGGTCCGTTTCTACCGTTCCGTTACGGCGTCGTCTAGCTTAAAGGGCTATACGCATGAGAAATATGCGGATTCAACCCGTTTTTGTTCCCGTGGAGCCTAGGCCTGAATGTATGCAAGCTCTCTGTTGATTTTGCTAGTTTTGAGATAACAGCTGACACATTTACTCAAGTCCACCTTTTAAAATATATTACCCTTTCATTGGTTTCAATTACCCAATTCAGTTTTTGGTTGAAGAGTAGTTTTTCTAATTCTGTGTTTTCCTTTTCAGTGTCTGAGGCCAAACCAGCTTTAAACCTGGTTCTGTGTGGGAGGAAAGGAGCAGGGAAGACTTCAGCAGCCGAGGCCATTTTAGGTCAGAGAGAGCTTCCTTCAGTCTCCAACTCCTCAGAGTGTGTTAAACATCAGGGAGAGGTGTGTGGACAGAGGGTTTCCCTGGTGGAGCTCCCTGCTTTGTGTGGAAAACGTCAGGAGGAAGTGATGGAGGAATCATTCAGCTGTATCTCCCTCTGTGATCCTGAAGGCATCCATGCCTTCATCCTGGTCCTACCTGTGGGTCCCCTCACTGATGAAGACAAGGGAGAGATAGAGGCCCTCCAGAACACATTCAGCTCTCGAGTCAACGACTTCACCTTGATTCTGTCCACTGTGGAGTCAGATCCTACAGCTCCAGCTGTTGTTAACTTTCTAAAGGAGAACAAGGACCTCCAGGAGCTCCGTCAGAGATGTGGAGGAAGACATGTTGTTCTCAACATCAAGAACCAGCAGCAGATCCCAGAGCTGTTGGATGCTGTGCAAGAGATGAGAGGTAAAAGATCTAGGAGCTTTACAATGAAGATGTTCACCAAGGCTCAGATGGAGAAGGTTGTAGAGCTGGATAACACTAACAGAAGACTTAAAGCTGAACAGCAAGACGTTACAAAGAAAACTCAGGAGGGAGATGTTGATGAAAGTCAGAACGGAGAGTGTCTCAGGATGGTGCTGATTGGGAAGACTGGCAGTGGGAAGAGTGCAACTGGAAACACCATTTTGGGCAAAGAATATTTTAAATCAACTGTCAGCTCAAAGTCAGTGACCAAGTTTTGCACGAAAGCAACAGGAGAGATTGATGGACGTCCTGTCGCTGTGGTGGACACCCCCGGTCTGTTTGACACAACACTGTCCAATTATGATGTTCAAGAGGAGATGGGGAAATGCATCAGCTTGTTGTCTCCTGGACCTCATGTGTTCTTACTGGTGCTGCAGATCGGCCGATTTACCCAGGAGGAAATAGACACCGTGAAACTGATCAAAAAATGTTTTGGCAAGAGATCTGGAGATTTCATCATCCCTATATTCACCAGAGGAGATGATCTGAAGGGTCGAACAATAAAGAGTTACATCCAATCTGATGACCTCTTGAAAAAACTGATAAATGACTGTGGAGGGAGATACCAGGTCTTCAATAACAATCAGACCAACCACAGGCAAGTCAGAGAGCTGATGGAGAAGACCAACAAAATGCTGAAGGAAAATGGCGGCGGCTGCTTCACCTCAGAGATGTTTCAAGAGGCCGAGGCGGCCATAAAGAAGGAAGTGGAGAAGATCCTGAAGGAGAAGGAAGAAGAAATGCAGAGAGAGAGGAAGGAGCTGCAACGAAAACACAAGGAGGAAATGGAAGCAGTGAAGAGAAAAATGAAACAAGAGAGAGACGAAAGTGAGCAGAGGAGAGCCAGACAGCTTCAAGAAATGGAGGAAAATATCAACAAGGAACGAGAGGAGAGAAGGAGAGATGAGGAGAAGAGAGTGGTTGAGGAGAAGGAGAAGAAAGGGCTGGAAGAAATTCAACGAATGGAATGGGAGAAAAAACTTGCCGGAGAAAGAGAGCAGAACAAAAAAGAGATAAGAAATCAAAAAGAAGAATGGGAGAAGGAGAGAGAAGCAGAGCAGATCAGACAACAAGAAGAAAATGAAAAGAGACGACTAGAGGAGCAAACAAGAATTCAAAGGATGCAAGAAGAGTACAAGCAGGAGAAAGAAAAACATGAACAACTAAGAAAAGAAGAAGACAGAAAGAGAAGAGAACAGGAGGAGGAGGGGAGAAAACAAATGGAGGAAAACTTTAATAAAGAACTGGAAGAAATGAAGTTAAAATATGAAGAGGAGGCCAGAAAACTAGCTGAAGAAAACCATGATATAAGCAAGCGCTTGCAGGCGCTTGCAGGAAACAGAACACGTGAAGGAAAACCTTGAAGAAGAACTGAAAAACAATGAGTGCACCATCCTCTGATCTTCATACTGACTCATGATCATCATCACGTCAGCAGATAGAACATCATGTCCTCTCCATTGAACAGCAGATTTCTGGATGATAATTCTCAAACAGGCTCCATCAGGCCACTCATTGAGACATTTCCACTTTGTGAGTATTTTTTATAACCCATAGTTTTGTTTCTTTGCCAGAGGTCGCGTTAACCGAATATTTTTTAACAATGACGGAAATATCTGAAAGCCGTCTGTCATTTTGACAGATTAGAACAAACTCAGGACAGCGCCAGTTTCCCCGCAGCGGGGCTCCGGTGTTATGCCGTGTTATATATGCCCGCCCAAAAGGAAATTATATTGTTTCCAAACCTAACCTTGCAGAACAGATCATTGAAATGTTTGTGAGTATTTGCTTTACGCTGTGCTAGTAGAATCTTTTGACTTTTGAATAGTCAATACTTTAACCAAACTTCAAGGTGCAGATTAAACTTTGTCTGTTTTATGGACTTAAGGTTCAAGTTAAATAACTTCAGTAATGTACAGATTAGTTGGTGTAGGTGCGTCTTTATAACATGGTGTGTTTTTCAGTGAGTAAATAAATGTATTAAATCAATCATGCTATGGAAAATGTTCAATCAATCACAAATGATTTTTATATCACACATTTTACATGTGTTTAATAGAGGGTTAAATGCAATAGAAAAGCTATCTTTATTGTCAACATGAATATTGAAGTCACCCACGATAATGACTTCATCTGTTTTAAGCACTAAACTTGCCTCTAAATGTGTGTAAATGTATATTTGTTTCTTGGGTGTAAAGGTGTGTATGTACAGTATGTATATATTTCTTTGTATATATTTGTATTCTTTGGGATGGTGAGAAACAGAATTTCGACCCCCCTCTCTGTGTAACACAAATAGAGGAGTTTACTTTGACTCATTTAAGCTGACATATTGTTTGGGTTTCAGTGAGTGATCATAAATACATGTTATCTTTGTTGCAGCCATTTTATCTGTATGTTTTATTTGTTAATCTGTTGTAATATTCTCCTGAACACTGGGTGGTGTAGGGGAGCAGGGAAGCATAAAGGGGAGCTCACCAGGACAGGGGGGGTGTATGAACGTTTGATTTGTTTATATATTATCAGAATATACAGTATTGCCGTTTACTCAGTGGTTTTGAGTCGAACATCAGAATACCTTTATTAGTCCCACAGAGGGTACATTTACATTGTTACAGCAGAAAAGAGCCAAAGACAGCTTAATGTTACCAAAGAAAAGGTCATCAGTCAGTGTGTTCATGTTCATGGACTTGTGTTAATCAGTCAGTCACTGCCACATTTGCCCAATTTTTTTTTGTGTCATCCTTTGATTTATTAACATATATCTCTCAATATGTAGAGCATGTGCTGCCACAAGATGGCGCCCTGTCTGTGAGCAGCTTGTTCTTAAAGTGTTGGGGTTCCTGTTCAATGACCTCAAGGTTCAAGGCTTTTATTGGTCATACGAACATAGCTACAGTGTAGTTATGACGATGAAAACCTTAGGTCACAGGCTGCTGTTTGTGCAGTGTGAATCCACTTTGATTCCCATTTCTGTAATAATCATTCATTTGTTTTAGTATCATGTGAAGTCAATGTTTGGTTCAATAAATACATCATTTTAATTTCATTGTGTTCATGTTACCTCATTGCACACAAATGTGTTTTATATTGTTTTGAAAGAATAGAGTTTTCCCAGTTGTCCTGGAGATGTAATGCTGTGAATGCATGTATAGAACATATACTGGTGATGTACTGTGAGGAGAGAATGCACCCCTCGGTGGTGGTGAGAGAAACGGCAGGCTGCAAGCATTTCTAATTATCATCCAAACCTCTCAACTCAGTGATTCAACAACTTACTGAGCTCTACTACCAAAATTCCATTTTATAAGATAAAAGGTAGACATCTCCCTGGCCGATATCTCCAACATTTAGCAGCTTTCACCACAAGATTCAAGGCTTTATTGTCATTTGTACATTAGCTACAGTGTAGATATGTCAATGAAAATGTAGGTCATAGACTACAACAATCTAGACTGATGAATTGCACAGAAAGAATATGTTAATTTAATTGAATGTGTGTGTGTGTGTGTGTGTGTGTGTGTGGTGTGTGTGTGTGTGTGTGTGTGTGTGTGTGTGTGTGTGTGTGTGTGTGTGTTGTGTGTGTGTGTGTGTAGTGTGTGTGTGTGTGTTGTGTTGTGTGTGTGTGTGTGTGTGTGTGTGTGTGTGTGTGTGTTGTTGTGTGTGTGTGTGTGTGTGTGTGTGTGTGATGTGTGTGTGTGTGTGTGTGTGGTGTGTGTGTGTGTGTGTGTGTGTGTGTGTGTGTGTGTGTGTGTGTGTGTGTGTGTGTGTGTGTTGCTTTGGAGAGTGAGTGAGTGTGGTCGAGTAAAACAAATGGAAAAAGTGACCATGGAGGAAAAAAGAGGGAAGTTTGTGATTCGAAGAAATCCCTCAGTTTCCAAAAAGCTTCTGGTCCAACGCAGAATAATATACACAATAAGACACACTGTTATTCTACTAACTTACAATATAATCATTATTTTATTGCAAATACAGTTACTGCTTAACAATTTGTTCTCACACCATCCTTATATTTTTATATATGAGTGCGAGATAGGATTTTGGCATTTATTAAAGCTTAAAATGCCCAATTTTAAGCTTTAATGTTCTGCAGAAATCTCCAAAAAACAAGAAAAATATGCCGTGTTTTAAGCTTCTCAACAAAGTATTTTCTAAATAATCCAGTAGGTTTAGTTTAACATGTCAGAGAAACAAAACAAAAAAGTGATGTGAAAAATGTAAAATGATCAAATCTAGAGATTTCTGAGCCACAGTTTTTAGCAGTAATAATTAACGTTCACACATCCTATTACTCATCAAAATCAAGGACTTTTTAAGGACTTTTTAAGGACTTTACAGACCCAATTCCCTTAAATGCAACATATTTCCTGTTGGCTTAATCACAACAAACAATGACGCAACTTTGTGAGCCTCACATGCAGACAGATAGACTATTTACTAACGTCAAATATGAAATATATCAAAATAACTTGCCTAAACTAAATATATAAATCAATGCACTTTCAATGACCCATTTCTATTATGAGTATCAATCAGGCAATAGCACACACATGGAGAATCAACGGAGCAATGTTAACATGATTTATTAAAAGTGTATACATTACATTATGTATAAGTTATACAAATGTACAATTAAATAAGGCTAAAATAATTCAAAATCTAGATGATCAATTTAAATGCATACAGTACATTCTCAATCATGAAGAACTGCAAACATGATGAAGGAATAAAATCTACAGTCATGTTTTTACTTTAGTTCCTTCCAACAAACAGGGTCAAAGTGTGTTGATAAAAACTCAGAGAGGATCAATGCAGGCTGATAGTTAGACAGGCTGTCATATTGATCACAACATTGATCAGACACAGAGTATTTCAACCGGAGGGGAATCTGAAAGAGTATTGGATGCACGAGGCTGTGAGGAACCACTGACATGAATGACTGCACAGCATGAAGTCAGAGAGCAGAAATACAATAAAACACAGGTCTGTGGGAAGTTCATCTCTCAACACACACAACTAAACACGGGGGTGACGTGAAGTCATGTGACCGTGCTGTAGTTCCTTCATAGCCTAACGTTAGCTTTTTACTCTAGTGGTGTTAATATATGGAGATTATCCTGCTGAACAAAACATGTAGGTGTCATAAACGTTATATACATTTCTGCGTTTATAATGTAATGCTAACTTTCGATTCAGCATACATCATTTTGTTATCCGGCAGCCAGGAAGGAAAAGGGCTTGAGCATGTTGACATAGATGCTGAGGGGGAACACACACCTACACACACACACACACACACAGCGGCTGCCTTTAAAGAGCCTGTGCAGTCAGGTGGGAAATTCCCAACTCACAATCCCAGCATTCCAGAGGAGCCGAGTTATTACCGCTCGTCACGTCCAAGTGTTGGTCAGGTGTTGGTGTCGTGTGTGTGTGTGTGTGTGTGTGTGTGTGTGTGTGTGTGTGTGTGTGTGTGTGTGTGTGTGTGTGTGTCGGCAAGGGTCAACCCCAAAACACAAAAATAACAACAGGTTATGGCGAGCGTTTGATCCCCACATGGGGTCTGAGCCAGGCTCCAGCCAGTCATTATGTCACTGTAGCTACCACATAGTGCTTGTCATTATGCGGACGATACACACTATTCCCTGCTAAACATTATACTCTGTCACGCTAACACTTAGATTCTGCTGAAGGCCATCTGTACGATAATTAAAAAATCGCTTAAAAGGCGAGTCTTCAGCTCTGATACAGCTCAGATCAAATGATCTGATACAGAAAGTGGTTTTAAGTCTGACAGGTTTCTCGTGCTTGCAGATATGATTTTGAGTTTTTTTATTGTGTGAGATAAGAAGTCAGTCTCAGGCACTGGACAGCATCGTAGACGTGAAGATCTGCTGCAGGATTTGGGGGATCTGTTTGGTGTCCATGGCAACGAAGGATCTGCCCGCTGGAAGGGTCTTCTGGAGTCTGAATGGAAACGAAAAAAAACGGAAAAAAAGATGGGAGGTTAAAAACAGAGACTGGCTACAGAATCGTTTCAAAAGACAAAAAAAAAGACGGACAAGAGCTTGTTTGTTGGGTGGATCGGTGCTAGATAGCATGGGCGACACAGCCATTATATGAGGGTGGGACAAGTCCCCCCCACCTTTTAAAATGATTAGTTTAGACCCCCCCACTTTTACTATGCGGAAAGTCCGTGCATCGGTCTATCCACTCGCCGCTCTCTGTAGAGCGCTGTGTCAGGGCTTCATTATCAAATCCATTCCACTTGCTTATTGAGAGAATGCCCAAATCAATGAAACTCTGTTCCATGTTTTCACTGCTACTTTGTACCAAGGCAGATTCTCAGAGCCGTACACATGAGCCGTGCACATGCTGCGTTTTTTGTGTAGCTGTGTCTTTAGTTGTAAAATGATGCGCGCCACAGTTTCCCCACTGCGAGGCTCCGGCGCTAACAGTTCACGAGCGTGCTAGGCGCTGTTATGAAAGAGGTGGAGGGAGAGTCCTCTCCTGTCAGACTGAGAGGCTGATAACTACAGCTCAGTGAGGTGAAGGACTCTCTGAGGGGTGGAGGGAGAGTCCTCTCCTGTCAGACTGAGAGGCTGATAACTACAGCTCACTGAGGTAAAGGACTCTCTGAGGGTTTAGATAGTTCACTTTAGTCTAAGTCAGGGGTCGGCAACCCCTGGCACGCGTGCCAGCATTGGCACGCGGCACCGTAACCAGTGGCACACTAGGAATAAGTGGAATAAGTGTGCAAGATATTTAAATTGTATTTTCGGATCCTGAACGAGACCGCCGCCAGAGCGCGTCTCCCCGTTACCTGCAGAAGGAAGCCATGCACGCAATGCAGCCCCGCTCTCTTTAACTCCAGGTGACTTTCTGCCGCTTTCCTCCGTGGTGCAGGGCTGATCGTTTCACCACAGAGGAAAGCACTTCACAAATTGCAGTACCCATAAGGAGCTTTACAAATGCCGCAGTTTTTGCGTGGCTGTGTCTTTAGTTGAAAGCCCAGTGGCGATCTGCTCATCTCTCATTGAAATAATATGCTACAAAGGGGCGGACTGGCCATCTGTGTGTTGAACTTTCCTGTCGGCTCCCAGACCGTAGTGGAGGAGGGCAGAAGCAACAAGCTTCAGGTTCAATAACCCACTTTAGCTTAAATGGCTGGAGAGAGGCGAGCTCTTCTTGAGAGGCCGTTGCATTTATTTAGCTGTTCTTCTGTTTCAAAAAATACATCACAGACCTCTGTTTTTCTGCTGCCTCGTTTCACTTCTAGAAACATACACACACACGCTCCCTCTCACTCTACCATCCACACACACACATGCACACACCACACCCCTCTCTCTCTCTCTTAAAGGAACAGCGATCTCATCTCACTCTGCATGACCCTAATATCATCACATGTGTGTTCTGGAGAATCACAGAACAGACGATCGTCCTTATTATTATGCCGTTTAAACCAATTATTTAAATGTGTTTGTTAACCTGTTAAGCACCGAGCCTGTTTTTCATGTTTCAGGCTCGAAAATGACATGCCCAAAACAAATGACTACAACTTAACTTCTAAAAGGGTTATATGAATAATTTCTTTTATCAAAGCAAGGTTACATCTGTGAGTTGGATGTAGAAGTGTCAGAATCAATATAAATGTTTTTTATTTAAAAAAAAATTCAGATTTTACATAGTAAAAAACTGTAAATTATAGTGTCCGTCCAAATATTATTTTTTTACAGATAGTGAAAACTACCCTTGGATGATGGGTTAGTAGACTAAAAGCTTTAGGAATCCAAAGTACAACATATAATAAGTACCCTGTATCAAGATTGATGCAAAACAAGTGAAATATGACCTTTTTAGAGAGATTTAGCCAAAAACCCCCACTTCTGGGGTCATTTGACCTATCTCTGGCCCCCCTTGCTCGATTTGGATCGTTGACACACCTTTCTGACCGTTAGAGCCAATAGAATCGAAGGGGGAGGCCCACACCCACACTCATTGTAAAGAGAAAAGATGGGGGCTGCGCATCTAGAAATGAAACTAGATTTGCAGATTTTGTCCTTCTGGAGTTTGGAAACTAAAAAGCCGTTTTATTGCTTATGGATTATCAGAAATAATTTCAAAGAGGACACAGACACATTGGATTAACCTATGGATTAACTGCAGTATCGTTTTTTTATCGTTTGAATGCCATTGAAGACCAGTTTTGACCAAGGTAAGCCATGTTAGCGTTTCTAGCTACTTAGCTTCACATGTTATGATGTACGCTTTCGTTTATAGCGTCACGAATGTTTATCACTGAGTGTTGAGGTGGGCACCGTTAGATTCAGTGTCTCCAGGACACCAAAAAAGAGTGGTTGGTTGTGCATCTAGGATAAGTAATAAGGGAGTTAGAGTGAGTTTAAGTGCCGTTTTAGGTTAAATTATTTCGCTCGTGGGTAATTCAGAGGCTGAGTGTTAGCATTGTGGGTTTTTTTTGAAAAAAAAAATGAAAAAGATCAGTTAGCTGAGTTTCTTCCCGTTACATGGATATAACACATTCATAGTTTTATTCAATATTAAGATTCCTTAGACGTTGTTTCCTGCAAATGGCGCGTTTATCCGCCCGGTACCGGGCGGATGGTGCGTAACAGGTTAAATTCAGAATTATGTAAATTGTGCTGACAGGTCCACACACTGCTTCCCCGCAGCGAGGCCCCCCCCGCCCTCCTGTTGATAGTTCTCGATCGTTGGCACGCTGATACTTTTTTTTTTTTTTAAATGGCACTTCATATCAAAAAGGTTGCCGACCCCTGGTCTAAGTAGTGGGTCTTAAACGGTTTGGTAATCATTTATGTAAATAAGTATTTAACTGTCTTTCGTTACTGTTCTGATTGAGTATTTCCTCCTGTTTCTGTCTTTAAAGGTCAGAGGCCTCTCTTTTACTCCTCTTGCTCTCCTGATCTGACTCCACTGACGACACAGAGTCATGAGTTGTTTCTGAACAGGTCACTTTCCTCCTGAAGGTGTTTGAATCTCGTGACTCTACCCACGTAGTCAGCAGCTTCTCAGAGAGGCCTAAAGAGAGCACGTACCCTCTCTTTCTCTGTGTGTGAAGCTCAGGGCGTCATCTGGGTGTCACAACAAAGGTCAGGAGGATCATCAGAGGGAACATGAGGAGGGTTCAGAGTCGCTCCCTCAGAGACCCATTGTTCTGCTGCACTTTGAAGGCTCGCTGTTCTTTATTGCTTTTGGATGAGTGGCTACAGTTCAACTTTAAGTGGTGTAACTTTAGCAGAACCTCTTAACTTAACTCACTTAAATCCTGGTCAGTTTGAGGTCTCTGCATGGACTCCATCTCCTTGTCACTTACTGTACTCTGTGTCTCAATTCGTACACTGTGAGAACTTGTGCATTATATGCATTTAGACCGTGTACCGATATCTCAAATTGCACATAGCTGCTGTGACAATAGCCGCTGTTAGCTTGATAGCTAGCTATTTAGCACAATATAATTTTCGATATCAAATCAGACTGCTCAATTAACCTTATCAAATTAACAGTGCAATTTTTTTTCGAGACCAGTATGGCATTACGTTTATTAAAAAGTAAATGAAACACATGTACAACTTGTATTTTAGATAGTTTTGTGTTTTCCAGATACAATTATTTTACGCAGACAAGAAGGCAATGATATAGTGGAAGAAGTGAAACATGTGGGGCCGTTATGAGCGCAGCATCCAGGTCATTATAGCTAATTTAGCCAGATACGAAATTGGATGCACTCGAAACAGAAAATGTAGTACAGATATACTCGGAATGAGAAACAGCATTAGTCCAGTCTTCTTGTCTTCTTTCATTTACTACTTATTCTCCCTTTCCTTTAGTTTTTATTCCACTTCCTGTCATCATTATCCGTATTCACCTTTTTTTGTTTTTTAACCCGATCACTGATCATTTCCTTCTGTGCTTATTTGAAGCCTTAATTTTGCTGCTGCCTATTATTTATTTAAATTAAATAGCCATTCATATCTTACACTGCATTGTTATGTTCATTATTGTGTTTTATCAAAATGTTTTAATTTGTATTCTCTTGGCTATTTTATCTATTAATGCTTTTCTTTGTTTTTTGACACATGCTATTACAGTAAACTTGCCTTTAACTTATTTTCACCCTCTACCTAAGTCCACCAACCCTGTCTCCCCCTCCTCACCTTTCTTCTTCACCTCTTTCCCCCTCTCCTCTCTCCTCTCTTCCTATTGCTGTAATCATTATCTTATTTGGCTTTTGACCCTATCACTAATTCTTCACACTTCCTCATTAGCCTTCCTAATTCTCACCCTCTACTTTACCCACAACCTCATCTCCTCTTTCCCCCTCCTCACCTTTCGGCCTGATCTCCGAGGGATCCGATGAAGATGGCGAAGGCGTTGACCTGGGGGTCGGAGGTCAGGACTTGAGCGAATCTTTCGGGCCGGATGCCGTATCGCTCCAGGTTAGCGTCGCTGAGCACGACCACAAAGTGCTCGTCTGCCTCCTCCTTCACTAACTCCTTGATGCTGGAGTCTGTTCCCTCCAGAGTGAAGTCTCCACTCATGCAGAACTGAGAGTGAGCGTGCATCGTCTGCAGAGAGAGAAAGAGAAGGATGTAGAAATCATTTTAGGCATCACAGGTGGAGACGTTTGGCTATAAGATGGAGTACCAGAGGCTTCAAACTACTGTGAGGAATGTACTTAGAGGGTTATTCAACAAATATAACTATCAGAATGGCTTTTGTGGGGGAAACTTCTGTGTAGCAATGCATTGGGAGTCACCGACTCAGGAAGGAGACACGGTGAGAGTTGGAGCTTTTGATGTCAAACACTGATGGGTTTATTCAGAGTATTCGGCCGGAGGATTCACATCACAAATCAAAGAGTCAGAGGTTCTGACTTCACGGTAGAGTTGCCACGTCAATTCTGAAGAGCCTCTCTCTATGCTAGACCTTTTAACTGGTTCACAGAGAGAAATCAACATCTCTGAAGGAGTAGACTAAACAGCTGGGAACACTGAGCCACCTGCGTCCGACACTTATGGCCTCAAAGATTTCACATCTTAGAGTCCACTAACACCGATAAAGAAGTGCCTCAGCGTTCTCACAAGAATTACCATTCGTGCCAGACAAGTTGACCGGTCACAAACTGGTGACAACAACACATATGGCACCAAGGCCTTTCCTTAAAGGAGATAACAGACGTCAGAGTAGATCATAAACGTCACAGAGCAAAAGGTTAGATATCTAGAAGAATTATTCCGTAACAGTTTTAAACCAGAGGACAATTAAAACGTATGCATAAAAAACCCAATGTTCTAAGGCTATCTTGCGGTTAATAAGGGAAAAAGCAGAAAACAGCTACTCATGGGCTGATTTGAAAATGTATATTTGAGGGTCAGTTCAATAAAGTTACAAAAAAAATTCAAAACATTTGAAAGATCTACATAGCAGAGGAAACAACAACAACAACAACAACAACAACAACAACAAACTGTGGAAATGTTCCAGTTAACTAGGGAAAAAATAAAATAAATGCAACAATACCAAACCCTGTCTTCAGGGTGTTTGTGTGTGTGAGAGAACAACAGGTGTACAGTAACAAAGCAGACTGATATGAATCTGTACCTTGAGGACTTTGAGTCTCTCTTTGTTGTTTTTGGGGACTTTATCCGCTCTAACCAGCTCGATGTCGTACCCGTCGCCTGAGTGCCCCACGATATCGTACTGCGTGGAAAAGAAAACACTTGAATTAAGAGAAAAATCTGCCAACACAAAGTTAATATCAGTGGTGGAAATCAACATGCATTTTCACAAGTACTACTTAAGAACACTTTAGAGGACCTGCGTAGAGTGAAAAACACTTTAAGTAAGAGACACATCAACAAAGACAGCACTAAGTTAACATCAGTGGTGGAAATCAACCTAGTACTTTTTCACGAGTACTGTACTTAAGAACACTTTAGTTTAAAGGACCTGCGTAGCGTGAAAAACACTTTACTGTAAGTAAGAGACACATCAACAAAGACAGCACTAAGTTAACAACTGTGGTGGAAAATAGTGAATTTTTTCGAGTACTGTACATTTTAGAGGACCTGCGTAGAGTGAAAAACACTTTAAGTAAGAGACACATCAATAAAGACAGTACAAAGGTTACATGTATCGTAACACATGAACATAAGTGGCAACAACAACAACATTTAATTGTTGCACAACTTTGTGTAACCCCCTCTTATATCGACACCAGGAATAGCATGTGTAGAGAAGTGTAAAGCTGAAGGTGTGCAGAAACGTCACGTCGTAACACACTACACACACTCTGCACACACACTGCACACACACACACACACACACACACACACACACACACACACACACACACACACACACACACACACACACACACACACACACACACACCACACACACACACACACACACAGTGTTTCTGTCATGGTGTTAGTAGTGATGGCCTCACCTTGAACTTGTGCTCGTAGTTCTCCAGCCCCTCCATCACCATGCACACGGCCTCCATGGAGCGCTCCAGCCGTCTGTCCACTCCGTTGAAGCGGTACATGCTGCCGGAAACATCCGCTAACACCCGCAGACGCTTGGGCTTCTGCTGGGGACTGCCCAGCTGCACACACACACACACACACACACACAGAATTATTATATTTCTATTAAAACAATATTCAAACTTCAAGAATGATAATTTACTGCCTAAAACTTTTACCAGGAATTCATAAAATACTGTTAAATATGTTTTTATTTTAGCATCTGCCTTTGTATATTTTTTGCATCAGATATTTTTTATGTATTTATAATGCTTATAATATCTGTGAATATATATATATATATATAAAAAAAAAAAAAGAATGATAGACAGAAATAACAAACACAAAGAACAACATCTGTATTCACACACACACACCTCTGGGTCCAGCTCTCCTCTGCGTTTGTAGATAGCTTTCTCTCCGGTCAGTCCATCGATGATTTTAGCGTCGTCCAGTTCTCCCAGAGCCTGGTTCTTCAGCCACTGACGCTCCTTCCCTTTGGCCTGAAAACACACACATCACTCCTCAGGTATGATAGAAAATAAGATGACTTGGTATAATCTCCATTATCCTCACAGAGGGAAAGAAGCCCGGGGCTCAAAGGACCAAAACAAACAATGAGCAACGTTCGTGTTCAAAGCCAACGGTGGCGTGGCTGCAAACACCTGGGTGGAAAACACACACACACCTACAAACACCCACACACCCACCCACCCACACACACCTACAAACACACACACACACACACACACACACACACACACACACACACACACACACACACACACACACACACACGATGCATCAACCCCATTTCCCTTCAGAAGCTCAAACAAAGGGAGGAAAATCTAACCTTACTAATGAAATGGTCAACTCATTGTTATCTACCAATTTTATGACGTCTCAACTTTTTATGTTCTGTCGGCCAGGTTCACTAGATTGTATTCCTTAACCTGTTAAGCCCTGAGCCTGTTTTTCAGGTCTCAGGCTCGAAAATGACATTCCCAGAACAAATGACCATATCTTCCCTTCTATAAGGGTTAAATTAATCATCTTTTTTCTCAAAGTAATGATAAACCTGTGAGTTGGATGTAGAAGTGTCAGAATCAATATAGATGTTTTTTATTTTAAAGAAAATTCAGATTTTACATAGTAAAAAACTGTAAATTATAGTGTCCGTCCAACAATTCTTTTTTACTTATAGTGAAAACTACCCTTGGATGATGGGTTAGTAGACTAAAAGCTTTAGGAATCCAAAGTACAACATATAATAAGTACCCTGTATCAAGATTGATGCAAAACAAGTGACATTTGACCTTTTTAGAGAGGTTTAGCCAAAAACACTACCTCTGAGGTGATTTGGGTGGAAATGTTTTTTTTTCCATATCTCTGGCCCCCCTTGCTCGATTTTGATGGTTGACACCTCTTTCTGACCGTTAGAGCCAATATAATCGAAGGGGGAGTCCCCCACACACACTCATTGTGAAACAAAAAGGTGGGGGCTTTGCGCATGTCATTTTGCATTAGAGTGAAGCTACACTCTAGCTCTGACATCTAGAAACGGAAAAGCATGGATTATCCGTCTCATTGCTCATGGATTATCAGAAATCATTTCAAAGGGACACAGACACATTGGATTAACCTATGGATCAACTTCAGCAGCGTTTTTATCGTTTTAATGCCATTGAAGACCACTTTGGAGAGACTACAGCGCCAAGGTAACCTTGTTAGCATTTTTAGCTACCTAGCGTCACCTGTTTTGATGTCTGTTTTTGCTTATAATGTCGTGATTTCGTATAATTCAGTGATAATGAGGGTACCCATCGATTCTGTGTCACCTCACGATGTGAAACGATGTCATGGATGTGGAGAAAAGATAAATAATAAGGTTTTGTGAGTGATTTTCGGTGCAGTAACCTGTTGGCATTTTTAGCTCGTTGCTAATTCAGAGGCTCAGTGTTAGCATTGTGGGTTTTCTTTTGAAAAATAAATAAAAATGATCAGTTAGATGAGTTTCTTCCCGTTACATGGATATAAAACATTCATAGTTTATTAAATGAACATGCCCTGAGACACTATTTCCTGCAAGATGTTGCGGCAGTGCCCCGGTACCGGGGTCTCTCGGGCTTAACAGGTTAATGTCGAGATGACCTAAAACTACCCCAGGAAGGAGGGGGCGCTGTCCCCAAGGAGCGTCCTGATTGGTTGAGAGAACAATAAGCAAGATCCCAGGTAGTGATTTTGTCTCCATTTTATTATTATGGTTTAGATTTTCCTGTCTTTGTTTGAGCTTCTTTGAGGAGATCTTGGTTGATGCATGCTGGGTGTGTTGGAATCATAAAGTTGAACAACTTTTTTGTTTGTGTAAATTGAAAATATACTATAAAAGGTTAAAGGTAGGGTAGGTAAGAATGGAGAAACCAGCTCGAGTGCGCTAGAATTTGAAAGTACACAACCGGAAAAAATTCTTCCTTCAGACTTCCTTACAGAGCCCCTCCTCCAACACACACGACCACATGACCAATGAGGGCACGAGATAAGTTTGTGCACAGATGGAAGGCTGACAGGCAGGTAGGCCATCCAGTTATTTTAGCCGGGCCGGCTCAGATGATTGGTTGTGCTTTTTACAGTACTACGGCTTCCACAGATGACATGTTTTTATGGATTTATTGTCAAAGCATTTAATATATTCATTGCTATCGGGATGTTAAGAGCATTCCATGGAATATAACAACAAGTGTTTCTGAAGTGAATTACCTACCCCACCTTTAAGTGACTATACCATAATATTTTTAATATTGTCTTGCCCAAATAGCATGCTTAAAACAAGAGAACAATCCAAATGCTCACCCGTTAAAAAAATCTATATAATTTTGTACTGTTTACACAATGTTTGGTATTTCTTGACACCTTAGTATCATATATGGTGTAAACAGTTGTTTGTTTGACATGTTTATTTATCTCTCAGATGACAAAGACTTCGTAGAATCCACCCAAACATCTAGATATGAATGCTTTCTGTTTTGTCTGGTGTTTCTGTGCTACAGTGTGTGATGCTGACCTGCAGGCTGTCCAGCACGATGCGCAGAGATTGGACCTGCCTGCTGACGGCGCTGGAGAACCGCTCGTACATAGCAGCGTCGTACTCACTCATATTGATCTCCTTCAGCCTGAGGGAAACACACAGAGAGAGGAGAGGCACATGACTTCATTTGATATGTTTTAGACTAAACACACATTACATTTAAAGCATACAATATGTTGGATATGAGTTACCTGGACTCATCTGCTGAGGACTTCCCGATCACAGACAACATGATTAAACACGTGCTTGACATTGTTGTGTCTTTCTTAAATGTTATGAAAGTACATAGCGGGTCTGCTGTGTTAAGGAGGATGAACATTCAGACATTTCTCAATGCTAGCTTCGGCCTTTACAGAACTCTTTCATAGATAAAGGATCTGACGTAAGATTTAAAATACAAAACCTCCAAAACCAGGTCATAGTTGCTGCAGATCATCTACATTTATTGCAAACACTGCAGGTGTTACTGCAGGTTCTCACATTTTTTCCATGCTTTTCTGCAAAAACATCAGATTTGTTTTCCAAAAACAGGCAAGTATTTAAATGCAACCTTCTGACACTTCTGTGGAAAATAACAAATGCAATTTTAGGATAAATGCAAAGCCTCTACTTGTGCTACTGCCAATATCTGCTTCCTGATTTTCCAAATAAGGTCAGGTAGATAGAGGAAGAAAAGTAAAAAAAAGACAGAAAAAGGGCTTTATGAGCTTAGGACACCTGTAGACAAACTAGAACAGACTGACCTATCGGTGTGTGTGTGTGTGTGTGTGTGTGTGTGTGTGTGTGTGTGTGTGTGTGTGTGTGTGTGTGTGTGTGTGTGTGGGTGTGTGGGTGTGTGGGTGTGTGGGTGTGTGTGTGTTATCTACCGTTCTCTGAAGGCTTTCTCTCCCATCTCGCGGGCTGCTTTGCGGACCTCCTCTGGGACGGCGTCTTTCTCAGCCTGGGACACCTGGTAGGAAACATCACAGATCAAATCCCCGCTGAGACACTTTCTGATCCGATGTTTGCTATAAAAGCATTTCATGAGTTAAATCTGAGCCCTGTCCTCTTTCCTGAAAGTTGTAATTTAAGCAGTTTACATCAGAATAAATACAATTGGGTTTCAGGGTGTGACGTTTAAGGTGGAGGGGGGAAAGCTGACGATAGCTCGTATCCTTCAGGCATGATCGATCGTCGGAGACGTCATCAAAGAGGTGAGGTAGACCATTCTCTGGGTCTCCTTATTAAGACAGTGGCGAGCCGTCAGGGCCCTCTAAGATATTCTACAATAATATTTAAAAACATTAAAAATATATATTTTTTGGAATATCTTCTTTTTAAATATTTCTTTTTGTTATATTTTTCATTAGTTTTACCAAAATAACTTGATTTAATTGTATTTAAAATAACATTTCCAAAGAAATAAATCCTTCGAATCTGCCTATTCAGTTTCTGTTGGAATGTGAAGGGTTAAATGAAAGAAGCTCGTGTCTGCGAGGTACTGTGAGCTGATTGGTGGTCCTGCTGTAAATTCACAGAGGGCCCGCTATAGTAACTGAATGAGAGAGTAATGTCAAATGACAGTACAATTGACCAATCATATCTTCCCTCTAAATGGGTGGGTTTTATTATCGCAGACTTTATGACAAGTTCCGCCCGCTGTGAAGCTTTTCTTGTTTCCATAGCAACAACAACTTCCTGTCAACAGCTTAAACTCGCCTTCAAAATAAAAGCATGTCCACAAAATAGGAAGCCAAGCCAAATTACACTTAAGACACAACTGCAACGAAAGTAACAAACACAATGCAATATCCTTTTTGATTTCAAAGAACACAAATTGGGTTATGTACAGGTGTTGTTTTGTGTGGTAGAGGGTCGCTGTCATTGATGCGTTTGGACCCCGGGCCGTTGTTTTGATATTCCGCTGGAGTATATGCTGTGAGGTAATAACTCTTCTTTTCTTTTCGAGGGAAGTGGGGGGGGGGGGGGGGGGGGTCAGAGGGCCTAAGTATAAAAGTCACGGCTCGCCACTGTATTATTGTATTAAGATGTATGGTGGTGGGAATAGCTTTAAATTCCAGTTGGTTCTTGACTTGACTGAAGTTGGGATCCCTCCAGAAGTTAACAGGGATTTAATTTATTAGTGGAGTCCCCCAAGGCTCAGTTCTTGGTCCTCTATGTTATTATCTTTGGCTCACGGTATTGTTATATTTGTGAACTGATTGGCTTCTTACCTGGTGGACTTTGTGTCCTGCATCCAGCCGGTAGGGACCTCCTTTCCCCCCGAGCCCCGCCGTGTCTCTGCCACCTGCAAGGGAACGTTTTAGTGATGAATTCACTCCATAAAGAGGCATCAAGTTGATTTGTTTACATCAAATCTGCAGTTTTTTATCTCACTCAACAGTATTTGTAACCTTTTTCATAGTCACGTATTCCTGCATTTTTACTGGCAGCTTTATATCCCTTGCAATATCTTCATCTTGCACTTTCTTATCAAATCAAATCAAATCAGGTTTTATTTATAAAGCACATTTAAAAGCGATTTTTGGTCGAGCCAAAGTGCTGTACATGTAATAAAAACACATTACTACAAAACACAATAAACGACAATAAATTACAACAGATATATCTTAAAAAACAAAATAAGAATAAAACACACGGAAAAGTCAGGAGTCGTGCTCCGCTCTAACTAGAAAGCCAGAGAGAAGAAGTGTGTTTTTAGTTTTGATTTAAAAACCCCTAGGGTCTGGGCCGACCTCACATGGAGGGGCAGAGTGTTCCAGAGCCTAGGGCCAGCTGCTGCGAAGGCTCGGTGCCCTCTGGTTTTTAGCCTGGTCTTGGGCACTACCAGCAGCAGCTGGTCAGCAGACCTTAAAGCTCTGGCTGGGGTGTAGCGCTGGAGCAGTTCAGTTATATAGGCCGGAGCCAGCCCATTTAGGGCTTTAAAAACAAATAAAAGGATTTTAAAATCAATTCTGAACCGAACTGGAAGCCAGTGTAGTGAGGCCAGAATAGGGGTGATGTGGTCGCGCTTTTTGTGACCAGTCAGCAAACGTGCAGCAGCGTTTTGGACTAGCTGTAAGCGTTTGATTGAGGCCTGGTCCATACCCACATACAGAGCGTTACAATAGTCCAGTCTCGAGGTTACAAAGGCGTTAATAACCCTTTCTAAGTCTTTAAAAGATAAATACGACTTGGTTTTGGCCAATAGTCTTATTTTAAAAAAGCAGGATTTTACTACGGTGCTGACCTGCTTGTCGAATTTAAAAGTGCTGGTGAAGGTCACTCCAAGGTTCATGACCGAGGGGAGGATGTTTTTTTTGATAGACCCCAGAATATCAACCGGAGAGGCTGAAGGTTGCGGTCCAAAAAAGATGACCTCAGTCTTGCTCTCGTTGAGGTTGAGGAAGTTTTTGCTCAGCCAGGATTTTATCTCTGCTAAGCAGTCCATCAGCTGCTGTAGTGAGTGTGTGACATTTGCTTTGAGAGGCAGATAGATCTGTACATCGTCGGCGTAGCAGTGGAAGGGAATGTTATGTGTTGTGAGTATTGAACCTAGGGGCGGTATGTACAGTAGAAAAAGGATGGGGCCCAGAATCGAGCCTTGGGGAACCCAACAGGTAAGAGGGGCTTTGGCAGAGGAGAAGGCACCTAGCTGTACCGAGAAGCTACGGTCTGTCAGGTAGGACCTGAACCATGCAAGGGCAGAGCCTGTGATGCCAGCGGACTGTTCAAGCCGTGACAGCAGGATGCTATGGTCCACAGTGTCAAAGGCAGCTGTCAGGTCTAACAGCACCAAGACAGCTGGGCTACCTGAGTCGGCGGCTAGGAGCAGATCATTAAAAACTCTTAAAAGAGCTGTTTCAGTGCTGTGCATGGGTTTGAAGCCAGACTGAAACTTTTCATGGATTCCATGCGTGGTTAAAAAAGACTGCAGCTGGGCGTAGACTACTCGATCCAGGGCTTTTGATAAAAAAGGTAGCTGGGAGATGGGCCTAAAATTTGCGAGAATAGAGGGGTCGAGATTTTTCTTTTTAAGGAGTGGCTTAACCACGGCATGTTTGAAGGCAGCTGGGACACATCCTGAGGTAAGAGAGGTGTTTAAAAGTAATAAAATACTTGCTCCAACTGAATCAAAAACATCTCTGAGAAGGCGAGAGGGAATGCTGTCTGAGGTGCAGTTTGTCGGCCGCAGGTGCTTGACTACATCCGAGAGAGAAGAGAGGGATACAGGGTCAAAGTGGTCGAGGACAGCAGGGCACAGAAAAGGAGCAGGATCTGGGGTAGCACTAGTGTGGGCTAGCCTAAGAGCAGATACTTTTTCAATAAAAAATGTAAGAAACTTATCACAGAGAGTAGTCGATGGGACAATAGAAGAAACATCACAGGGATTAATGATAGAGTTGAGGACATTAAAAAGAACCTGAGGTTTATGGCTGTTTTTGGAGATGAACAGAGAAATGTGCTCTGTTTTGGCTTTGACTGCCGTCTGGTAGTCAGAAAGGCAAGCACGAAGGATTTCTAGGGAGACATGGAGTTTATCCTTTTTCCATTTTCTCTCTGCACGCCTGCAAGCGCGTCTGAGATCACGAGTACAGTCATTGAGCCACGGCTCTGATAGAACTTTGATGCGTCTAAGCGTAAAAGGAGCAACAGAATCCAGTATTAGTGTGCATGTCGAGTCAAACATGGAGATAAGCTCATCAGCATTAAAAGCACAGTTCACATCTAATTTACAGATCGGAGAAGCATTAAAAGCATCAGAGAACTGTGAGGCAGTCAAGGGCTTAATCGAACGTAGACGACGCGCAGGGGCACGTGATTCGACTCCTGCGGAAGGGATGGAGGTTGTAAACAGAACCGGTAAATGGTCTGAGATACGCGTTGCTGCACATATTTCATCCACAGATACAGACAGTCCAAACGACAATACTAAGTCCAAAGTGTGTCCTTTTTCGTGTGTTGGGCCAGCCACGGACTGAACGAGACCAAAGGAATCAAGGAGATTTAAAAAGTCCCTAACCAGAGGTTTGGACTCGCAACACACATGGACATTGAAGTCTCCGGAAATCAAAACACGATCATATTTCACCATGATCCCGGACAGAAAGTCAGAAAAGTCATTTATGAAATCCTTATTACACTTTGGCGGACGATACACGACTGCGCAGAGTATAGGCGAGGCCGGGTTCAGTTCAAAAAGCTGCAACTCAAAGCTGGCATAGCTAGATACAGGGTGAAGCAATCGGCATTGGAGGTTTGCTCTAAACACTGATGCTATGCCCCCACCATGGCCAGTGGCACGGGGGGAGCTGAAGAATGTACAGTCAGGAGGAAGAAGTTCAGAGAACGGTGTATACTCGCCAGCGTGGACCCAGGTCTCCGTCAGGAACATAAAATCCAGTTCACGAGAGGTGAAGAAGTCGTTTAGCAGGAACGTTTTGTTTGCTATCGACCTAGCATTTAGCAAAGCCATGCAAAGTTTTCGCTCCGGGCTTGCCGAAGGTGTAGTGCGTCTCAGCTGACGAAGATGTGCGTGTTGAACGCCGCGCGGGCCGGGAGCAGTCAGTCGGGCAGGAGGAGCTGCCAGCGGGCCCCTCAGACTCCGGAGCTCCGGAAAAACGGGGCGAATCCACCGATCCCTCACTTGGCGTGCAGCGGGAGGGCCATGACATCCGAGGCGTGGATAATTCACAGAAGAAGCCGTCAGGTATGCCTTAAGATGGACCAGTGCACCACCACGCTTTCCCCGTCGTCGAAAGCGCTTTCGGCGAGGCAGGACGCAGTGTGACCGCCGTAGGTAAGTGGGGATATCCGACAGTAGAGGTGGGGGGGACGATTTATGGTTGCCAGATGTAGGTTTGGGCAGCAATATCAACTCCAGTGAGGGTCTGAGGTGGAGGAGAGCTTGGCGATCATAAACGAGCAGAGCAGAGACATTCTGACAAACATAAAACAAAAACAGGACAGCTAAAGGTAGAGAGCTGAGCGAGCGGCGAGCCGACACAGGCGCCATCTTGAATCACGTCACTTGAATCACACGTCACGATTGACCTCACGATTGACCTCACGATTCCCTTATACATTTTATCTTTCATGTCTTAAGTATACTGTAACAATATAATAATGTCACATGTAAAAAGAAGGAGATCTGACCAAAGGTGATTCTTTGAGTTCTGAGATTAATCTAAGATTCTGACGAAAGACATCATTTAATCTTGAACCAATCACATTTGCTTAAAGCACTTTTTGTCTGCAACCATGGCTGGAAATCTAGATTTTTCCCAACTATTTATTGAACTATTTAATTATTTTGTTTTAGATTATCATTGGATTCTTGTTTAACTGATAAAATGCCCTCAATTTGCTGGAGCTCAAGGTCATTACTTCAAGTTTAATATGACTAACAGTGAAAAACAGATAGATATTGACAAAACAAAAGGTATGCTAAACAAGTAAAACTATAAATCATAATCACAATTATTGTCTTTTCCAACTATTATGGACAAACACTAATCCAAACCTTTGATTCGAACGAAGGGAGACTGTGTGCCTTGCCCAGGGGCAATAAGCACTTCCTCTCTCTCATATCTACACTTCCTAACATGCCATCAATCATAGTGATGTTTGTGAAGTGTCATCACAGATTTTAATCACCATATGGTGGATTTAAGGGATTCCTGCGTGATGCTGAGTCAGTAAGAGATGGCAGAAGTACACACATCCTTTACTCAAGTAGAAGTACAGATACTCGTGTTTAAAAATACTCTGGTAAAAGTAGAAGTACTGACTAAACTTCTATACTCAAGTAGAAGTAAAGAGGGCTTTGAAATGTACTTCAGTAAAAAGTACCCATAACTAGCAGCTGTTTTAAAGAGTACCTGACCTCCCTTTATATTAATAGAACAATAATGTCATTGTTAGCTAATGCATGTTTCCATGCTGAACAACGGCAACATGACAACGTTTTCATTGGTCCCTCTTCTTTAGAGAAGACCAGGAAATGATGGATACACGGATCGTGTTCAAATCAATAGGCACGCAATGACTCTAAATAATAATGATCACGCCACCAAACACACATTCAAACTAAAGGAACCAGCCTGTTTGGGAAATGTAAGAAGTAGAAAGTACAGGTATTTGGGTTCAACATGTAAGAAGTAGAAAGTACAGGTATTTGTGTTCAACATGTAAGAAGTAGAAAGTACAGGTATTTGTGTTCAACATGTAAGAAGTAGAAAGTACAGGTATTTGTGTTCAACATGTGAGAAGTAGAAAGTACAGGTATTTGTGTTCAACATGTAAGAAGTAGAAAGTACAGGTATTTGTGTTCAACATGTAAGAAGTAGAAAGTACAGGTATTTGTGTTCAACATGTAAGAAGTAGAAAGTTCAGGTATTTGTGTTCAACATGTAAGAAGTAGAAAGTACAGGTATTTGGGTTCAACATGTAAGAAGTAGAAAGTACAGGTATTTGTGTTCAACATGTAAGAAGTAGAAAGTACAGGTATTTGTGTTCAAAATGTGAGAAGTAGAAAGTACAGGTATTTGGGTTCAAAATGTAAGAAGTAGAAAGTACAGGTATTTGGGTTCAACATGTAAGAAGTAGAAAGTACAGGTATTTGGGTTCAAAATGTAAGAAGTAGAAAGTACAGGTATTTGTGTTCAAAATGTAAGAAGTAAAAGTAAAAACTCGTCAGAAAAATAAGTAGTGGAGTAAAGTACTGATACCAGAAAAATGTACTTAAGTACAGTAACTAAGTATTTGTACTCCACTACTTCCCACCTCTGAGAGTCAGTCAGAGTCTCTGTTACCTGTGCCTCCCGCCCACTGGTTTCCTCCGACGTGAGGATCGTTGTTTGCGTCGATCTTTCCGTGTTTCGGGGCGCTGACATCCAGACCGCTGTCCCTCTGGATGGTGATCTGAGAGGAGAGGAGCCAGAGAGGCGGTCAGTTTTCAAACATTAGTTTTAGTATTATTATTTAATTTATGTTATTTAATTGTATCTAATTGTATCTAATTGTATTTATTGTATTTAATTGTATCTAATTGTATCTAATTGTATTTATTTCACACACACACACACACACACACACACACACACACACACACACACACACACACACACACACACACACACACACACACCCTCTGAAAAACATACGTTAAATGGGACAATTCACCCTAAATTAAAATAAATTAACATATTCTTTCTGTGCAATTCATCAGTCCAGATTGTTGTAGCCTATGACCTACATTTTTCATTGACATATGTACACTGTAGCTAATGTACAAATGACAATAAAGCCTTGAATCTTGTGGTGAAAGCTGCTAAATGTTGGAGATATCGGCCAGGGAGATGTCTACCTTTTATCTTATAAAATGGAATTGTGGTAGTAGAGCTCAAAGAAACATGCAATGGTTACTAATCTACAGATCTTGTTATAAGTAGTTTAAGATAAGAAAGTTTTCCTTTATATCAAACTACACCTGGTAACCGTATCATATCCCAGAATCAAGCGTGCATTTACTCGTACTTTGGTCAGAATCCAGACTGTTACACTCTCTAAGCGTGTCATAAAAACAAGGTATTTCACAAGAAGCAGACCTGCGCCATGTGCAAACAGGGAAGCATGTGGAGGCGAGGTGTGTGCACAGTTTGGTGCAGTAACACGTCTCTGTGCAGGTATACAGAGAGCCCTGTAGGCAGGTATGTTTAAATACAGTAGTGCTACTGTTGTTTGCAGTGAGCTAACACCGAGCACAGGCAGAGTCTGTTAGTCTGACCTGCAGTGGACTCAGGGTGCCCCATCAAAGAAGAGCTGACTCCGCAGGAATCTCAGGGAGTGTGTGTGTGTGTGTGTGTGTGTGTGTGTGTGTGTGTGTGTGTGTGTGTGTGTGTGTGTGTGTGTGTGTGTGTGTGTGTGTGTGTGTGTGTGTGTGTGTGTGCGTGCGTGTTTGTATTATTGTATGACATTAATCTGTTTGAACTCTCCCTACTTTCTTAATGTAAATCAAATATGACTTTATTGTTTTTGTCTTATTTAGAGCACAAACTACTTGCCTTATTTACATGAAAATTGGTAGCAGAGCCACTTGGCATGGGCCAAGTAAGAACCCATTAAATTCTGGAGTGTATCCGACATTCTCGTTCGTTAAAATGCAAGATGAGGCATTTGGTGTTCGTGGAGGTATGTGTGTATTAATCTATTCCCAGTCAAAGGATTTCTATTAGTTTTGTCTCAGTAGCCCTGGACCCCAACACACCTTATAAGAACATCTATATTCCTGGATTCATGGAAACACAAAATGAGTATGTAAAAATGTAATAATGACACCTCTTCATACAATTTTAAGTGGCAAATATAGAAAAAGGTAAAGAGGTTTTATTTATTTCCCCCCCATTTACCCCTTAAAAATCTACTTGTATTTCCTTTAAGTTACACAGAACCCAATAATGAAGTGAGTGAGTTTGTATTATTAACTTAAACTCCAACCACTCTTTTGACATAAGAAGGAAGTCCCTGATCATCAAATGTATGATCAGTTTCTTTGACATCCACTTCTTTCCTTGCCTTGTACACAGACCACAGATTATGCCCTCTACATCTGGAAGGCTCCACTATCTCTATCTATATGGCTATTCAATCTGCCTGTGATGTATATGTGGGCACCTTCACTATGCTCTCTCAGTAAGCTGCCCTGAAATGTTCCGACCCATACCGAAGGGGTCAAACTTATTGCATCATCGGCACAATGCCCGTCCATTCATAAACTCCCACCCTGGGTCCAGGCAGGTCATACATTTGGGGCTTGGAAACATTCCGGTTAGCATAAAATCAGGAATGTTGTGCAGCTGATGTGAGGAGAGCATGCAGAGTGACGTCCAGCTGGAAATCTGAACACTGTGGGCGTTTTTAAAGTAGCACTGCCCCTCGTGGTGGTGAGAGAAACTGCAGGCTGCAAGCATTTCTATTTATTGATATCAGAATTTAAGACTTTTCTTGTGGGTTTTTTTGTTCTGAAAAATAAGTCAAAATTCAATATTTTTTCAAAATGTTAAGCGTGGCCCTAATCCTCTTAGTAAAGAATCTGAATACTTTTTCTGCCACTATCCAACTTTTTTCTCAGAACTAAAACATATTTTTTTGAACTTTGAAATATGTCTGAATTATTAGTGCGAATGCTGTGCCACAGCATTCCACTATAGTACTTCAAATCTTTATTCTTTCCGCTTATTATTATTTCAGCCAATACTTTGGCTCTCCATAACTTCAGCTTACTTTCAGCTACAGAAACCATTCAAATATCAAACTATTCAGCCTGTTCCGGAATCGATGGGAAACCTTCAACTTTTTAAAAATATTTTATACTTTTTGAAATATTCAGCTTTTTAAACTCTTTTTTTTAACATTGAAGTCAATGGGAGATGCCTTCAAATCCTCTTTTCCTACACCTTGCGCCAAATGCTACTCCTTCCACATACTTTCAGCTAGACACTTCATTCCAACTTTCAAATGATCACAAGACCTTCAGCTATTCAAAATTGAGGCTGTTTTAGATTTTAGAGTGCGTGACATCATCACTTAGAGTGTAGAGCAGACCTGGGCATCGTACGGCCCCCGGGCCACATACGGCCCTTTGGTTGACTCTGACCGGCCCGTGTAAGGCTAATTGGAAATTACAAAATAAACATATTTTCTAACTTTACCTCATGCATGGACTAAAGCTGCATTGCTTTTATTTTGAAGTTGTTTTTTATTCACGTGCATAATGACGCAATACGTATATCAAGACGTGCACATTATTGGATCCTTGTCACAAGACGACTTTAGCCCTCAAAAAAATGTCCGCTAAAAAAAGAAAGGTAGATGCTGAATGCAGGGTTTTCAACAAAAATTGGACTGCTAAGTATTTATTTACTGAAGTCGGAGGTAAAACCGTGTGTTTAGTTTGCGGGGAGCAGATCGCCGTGTTTAAGGAGTACAATGTGAGTCGACATTACGAGACGAAACACGCGGAGAAATATAAAAACTTGACTGACGCTGAAAGGGCGCGGACATCGGAAGCTTTGCTAGCTAAACTGCAAAAGCAGCAAGGCTTTTTTACCAAGCTTCACACATCCAGTGATGCAGCAACCATGACCAGCTTTGTGATATCCCACAAAATTGCTAAAAACAGTAAGCCGTTCTCGGAGGGGGAGTTTGTCAAAGAGTGCTTGGTGGACTCTGCAGCACTAATATGCCCTGAAAAAAAAGCCGCATTTGAGCAAGTCCCGCTGTCCAGGCGAACCGTGACTAGAAGGATCGAGGACATTGCGGGGAATCTGGAGCTTCAGCTGCAACGTGAAGTGGCAAGTTACGACTTTTTCTCCTTGGCTTTGGACGAGAGCTGTGATGTCCGCGACACAGCCCAGTTACTCGTATTCGTCCGCGGGATAACACCGGACTTCAAGATTACGGAGGAGCTGGCAGCAATGCGGTCGATGAAAGGGACGACGACAGGGAGCGATCTGTTCACGGAGGTAAACGAGTGCATGGACACGCATACATATGTGAACAAACATTTTCAATTATGAAGTTTACGAAATCCAGGTATAGATCCTCTCTCACTGATGATCATCTGTCAGCTGTGCTTCGCATCTCCACCTCAGACATTCAACCTGACCTTGATGCACTCGTTAAAGCCCAGCAGAGACTAGATTTCTCTCACTGAACAAGAAAAGAGAACTTAAAAACACCAAATGAGGTGGTTAGACTACAAATGTTGGCATGTAAAGGCACCAACTAGCAGTGAACTGGGACACTTTCTTTGGAAGCCTTTTTTTCAAAATCACAGTTCAGTGATGTTTAGTGACAGTTCAATATGATGTATCTTGCTTAATATTTGGAGTACAAAGACAATATTGTGATGTCTTTAGAATGCTAAGAACCTCTTTCCAACAGTAAATGAAACTCAAAATGTGTTTGAGTGAATGTGACTGAAAATGTTCACTAATATGAGTCACAAATGGTGAAAAACGTTCATTTTGTTTACCATTGTTTTGGGAAATTTGATTTAATAAATGACATTTTTTTGTAAGGCAACCTCACTTTTTCATTGCTTAACTATAACATATACTCTTACCAGCTTGTCAAAACAATGCTATTTACTGCTTTTTATAAAGAAATACAATTAATATTATGCAGAATTGAGTTCAGCCTTTTGGCCCGGCCCTCCACAATATTTTCAGTTTCTCATGTGGCCCCATGGAAAAAACAATTGCCCACCCCTGGTGTAGAGGGTCTTAAAAATCTTCGGAAAAAATATTTTAAAACTGCTCTCAGAGCCAAAATATACAATCTATTCAAATAATTTCAAAAGATTTCAGGAGCATTATTAGTCTGGCCTGCTCAATTGCCTTCATCATATCAAACGGACACACCGTTCTGGCCCAATAGTGATCAGAGTGACAAAAAGTCCACCTAGCTCCCAATTGATTCCCATGTTAAATCTTTCCGGAACTTTCTTCAGAACAGAGAGAAGTACACTTTAGACAAACTGCTCCCATCTCCACATTTTACACACAAAACCAAAAAAAACAACATATATCAGTTCAATGGGGTTCCCTGATGCTCACGGTCTGGTAATTTTTTGATAGGAGCCATGGTTTTTGAACAGGTGACAAAATTGTCAGATACAAACCTCAATGCATTCTTAATGGGGAGTTTCAGGGGAGAGAGGAGAGAGAGAGAGGGCGATCAAGAGAAGAGAGAGAGAGGGCGATCAAGAGGAGAGAGAGAGAAGAGAGAGAGGGCGATCAAGAGAAGAGAGAGAGGGCGATAGAAGATTGAGAGGGTGATCAAGAGAAGAGAGAGAGTAATGTAACCTCCTAATGTAATGTATTACTCCTATGAAAATGTTCAAAAAGTGCTCAAACTTCAC